ATATATATATATATATATATATATATATATATATATATATATATATATATATATATATATATATATATATATACTCCAATAAAACAAAATCCAACCGGTCCGGCCAAGCCCGGTTCGGTTCATTAAGATTCGACTTGAGTCTTTCCCGAGACAACATCACTTGGGGGGACGGCCGAGCTTATTTTCAAGTCCCGCCCAATCGGACCCTGAGATTGTGAACCGTGCCACAAATTTTGTACACACAAACCCAGAGACCGGTCCGGTTTTTTTTCGATTACTTTGTTCACATCTCATTTCTTTGGTCCGTTTCCCAAAACGAACCCACTCCTCGCACCTCGGAAACCCAAAAGCTCTTAATCTAAACCCCATGGCAGCTTGCTGCCATTCGACCCTCCTTCGTCACCTTCTTTTAACCCATGCAGTGACCCCAAGCGAAGCGAAAGGGGAAAGGCTGTGATCGAGATCAGTCTTACCGTTTCAGCATCCCAAAACATGGAAGAGGGGGTTTGCCCCTCCTCCCCTTTTACTTTATCACACTCCCCTAAGCCTTGCCTTGCCTCTGCTATCATCAAACCTCCCCTTCCCAAGGCGGAGATGGGTGGCATGCAGAGAACAGGGGGAATGACCCGACTGGCCTTTGGTTAGGGCTTGGGTTGGGTGGGCGGTGAAGAAGATGTTGCGGTGGTGGTTTGGTCATTTGGGATGCGATTGTGTGGGGATTAGGGTTTTGGGATTAGGGATTTGGGTAGGTTAAACGTGATGGGATGATAGCAATCCCAACCAGAGGTGTCAGTAGGCTTGCCTTGGTTAAGCCCATCTCACAGAGCCCATCATAATTATGCTGTTGGTGATGTCTATAAATAATACGATGCATTTGATGTTGATATAAAGGAAAATGTTTTCCTTTCCCCAGTCAATTTGGATCAACAATTGATCCTAATCTCATTCATTATTTGTTAGATTCACAGTGAGACAAGTGCCACATCCATTTCTCAAAGCTTGCTTGGTTTATACCTATCAAGCATAAATTTAGATGATATGATCATTGGTTGCCCAAAGTTCCATCCAACCCTAGTAGATAGTAAGACATCAAGAACATGGCCGCACACCACCCATCATGGGGAACGGGACAAGCCAAGTGGGCTTGAAGTCATGCTGCAAGCAAGTTGACTGATATCATCAGCCCTCTTGAGGCTTTGACTCTTCTTCTATCTCCCAGCATTTACTTCGTGCAACGTTGAAACCTTGAAGAGTTGGGGAGGAGAGTGTGGTAGTAGCAGTAACGCAGCAGCAGACACCTTCTCCTGCGCTTTCGGCCTCCATATGATCATTGGGTGAAGCCGAAGCAATGTGCAGCTCTCTTCTACGCCTCTCTCACATGGAGCACAGCCTTCTCCCTCGCCCTTGGTTTGCGTGGGTAAATCTCGGAACTCCTCACATCCAAGCATTTAAGGTTCTCTGCCTGTGACGTGCGCTGGAATCTGAGTCACGTACTTCTTCCAGCTTCAGTATCTTCATCTTCTTACTCTGGAGAGCCTTTTGCATCTTCAAGTGAAGCAGAGAAGACAATTGGAGTCCTCTTGCTTCCAAGCGAAACACCCGAGTGACCAGTGCCATTGTGCCATCTTCATCTTCCCTCCAACTTCTTTTTCCATCGTTTCCTTCGTCCAAAGCATTCTCACCTCCTACCTTGATTGATCCCACTTGGTTTTGGTCAAGAGTCTGAGATCTATTCCTCCTCCTCCCTTACATTCATCGCTTCCAGTTCCACCCTTGCTCACTGCACTCCAGGGAGCACAGCAAATGAGCTGCATATGGTGGTGTTGATTGGTGATCCTTAGACCGTTTCACCGCCATCCACCACCAGTTACGGAGGAAGACAGCCCATATGAGGAAGGCCGGCAGCATTTCCACTGGCTCACTCTTCTTCTCATTCTTCGCCATGGCTATTCTCAGTTTCATCAGCCCGACCGTCTCTCTCTCCCCTGATGGCAAGGCTCTCCTGTCCCTGTTGGCTGCAGCCTCCGCCAGCTCCTCCCCGGGTCTGCTGCCCTCGTGGGACTCCTCCCATCCCACCCCCTGCTCTTGGCAAGGAGTCACCTGCTCACCTCAAGGCAGGGTCATCTCCCTCTCGCTGCCGAACACCTTCCTCAACCTCACCTCCATTCCACCTGAGCTCTCCTCCCTCACCTCCCTCCAACTCCTCAACCTCTCCTCGGCCAACATCTCCGGTGCCATCCCACCCTCGTTCGGCGCGCTCGCGTCGCTCCGCCTTCTCGACCTGTCCTCCAACGCCTTGTCAGGCCCCATCCCGCAGCGGCTCGGAGCCATGGCCTCTCTCCAGTTCCTGCTCCTCAACTCCAACCGCCTCTCCGGCTCCATTCCTCCCGCGCTCGCCAACCTCACCTCCCTCCAGGTCCTCTGCCTCCAAGACAACCTCCTAGATGGCTCCATACCCTCCCAACTTGGATCTCTGCTCTCTCTCCAACAGTTCCGCATAGGCGGCAACCCCTACCTCTCCGGCCGTCTCCCCCCGCAGCTCGGTCTGCTGACCAATCTCACCACCTTCGGCGCCGCCGCCACCAGCCTCTCCGGTGCAATCCCCGCAGAGTTCGGCAACCTGGTGAACCTCCAGACGTTATCTCTCTACGACACCGACATCTCCGGTTCGGTTCCGCCGGAGTTGGGCTCGTGCTCGGAGCTGACCAATCTTTACTTGCACATGAACAAGATCACCGGCGGGATCCCCCCTCAACTGGGTAAGCTGCAGAAACTCACTAGCCTGCTCTTGTGGGGGAACTCGCTCACGGGACCGATCCCGGGCGAGCTCGCCAACTGCTCGGAGCTGGTGGTGCTTGACCTGTCCGCGAACAAGCTCTCGGGGGAAGTCCCCAGCGAGCTAGGGGGGTTGGCGCTCCTGGAACAGCTCCATCTCTCTGACAATCTGCTCACGGGTGGCATACCAGAGGAGTTGAGCAACTGCAGCAGCTTGACTGCTCTTCAGCTCGACAAGAACGCACTGTCCGGGTCGATTCCATGGCATATCGGGAGCTTGAAGTCCTTGCAGAGTCTCTTCTTGTGGGGGAACTCATTGTCGGGAACCATTCCACGGTCCTTCGGCAACTGCACCGAGCTCTACGCCCTTGACCTGTCCAAGAACAGTCTCACAGGGACCATCCCGGAGGAGATCTTTGGCCTGAACAAGCTCAGCAAGCTGCTGCTGCTGGGGAATTCATTGACGGGGTCACTGCCGCCAAGCGTGGCGAATTGCCAGTCATTGGTCAGATTGAGGCTCGGAGAGAACCAGCTCGCTGGTGAAGTTCCAAGAGAGATCGGTATGCTGCAAAACCTTGTGTTTTTGGATCTTTATACTAACAATTTCACCGGGAAATTACCTCCTGAGATTGCCAATATCACCGTGTTGGAGCTGTTGGATGTCCACAATAACCACATCGCCGGGGAAATCCCTCCTCAGTTGGGTGATCTGATGAACTTGGAACAGCTGGATCTCAGCGAGAACAGCTTCGCCGGAGGAATCCCTGCGAGCTTCGGCAATCTCAGCTACCTGAACAAGCTCAGCCTGAAGAGCAATCTGCTCACTGGCTCATTGCCAAGATCCATAAGGAACCTGCAGAAACTGACCTTGCTTGATGCGAGTGGCAATGGCCTCTCGGGTCGGATCCCTCCTGAGATCGGCTCCTTGACGAGCTTGACGATTAGCTTGAACTTGAGATCCAACCGGCTCGTCGGAGAAATCCCACAGGAGATCTCCGGTCTGACGCGGTTACAGTCCTTGGATCTTTCGGGCAACATGCTCGGTGGAGGGATCCAAGTCTTAGGCCTCCTCACCAGTCTCACCTTCCTCAACATCTCATTCAACAATTTCTCCGGGCCAATTCCCGCCACTCCATTCTTTCGAACTCTGTCAACCAACTCCTACCTCCGGAACCCCGAGCTCTGTCCCTCTTTCGATGGTTACACCTGTTCTTCCGACCTCGCTCCCAGAGCTGCCATCAAATCAATCAAAACCGTGGCACTAGCGTGTGCCGTTCTGGGCTCCGCCGCTCTCTTGTTCGCAGCGACGTGGATGCTTGTCGGCAGAAACCGAAAGCTCGCAGCAGAGAAGGCAGTGAGCATACCGTCTTCTGGATGTGATGATTTCTCCCACCCGTGGACCTTCATCCCGTTCCAGAAGCTAAACTTCACGGTTGACAACATCCTCGAGTGGCTGAAGGATGAGAACGTGATCGGAAAAGGTTGCTCTGGGATGGTCTACAAGGCTGAGATGCCCGGTGGCGAGCTTATCGCGGTGAAGAAGCTCTGGAAAACGAAGAAGGAAGAAGAACTCGTCGACGCATTCGAGTCGGAGATCCAGATTCTCGGGCATATCAGGCACCGAAACATCGTGAAGCTACTGGGTTACTGCTCCAACAAGTGCGTCAAGCTGCTTCTCTACAACTACATCTCCAATGGCAATCTGCAACAGCTTCTGCAGGAGAACAGGAACTTGGACTGGGACACAAGGTACAAGATTGCGCTCGGATCGGCACAGGGCTTAGCTTACCTCCACCATGACTGCATCCCAGCCATTCTTCACAGGGACGTCAAGTGCAACAACATACTGTTGGATTCCAATTTCGAAGCTTATCTGGCCGACTTCGGATTGGCGAAGCTGATGAGTTCGCCCAACTTCCACCATGCCATGTCCAGGATTGCTGGTTCATATGGATACATAGCACCAGGTAAAGCTGAGATGTGTGTGTATCGTCCAGTTCCAAGTTCATTTCCTGATGTGCTTGCTCGTAACAGAGTATGGGTACACGACGAAGATCACAGAGAAGAGCGACGTGTACAGCTACGGGGTGGTCCTTTTAGAGATTCTAAGCGGGCGGAGCGCCATAGAGCCGATGGTTGGTGACAGTCTTCACATAGTAGAGTGGATGAAGAAGAAGATGGGCAGCTTGGAGCCTGCGGTCAACATCTTGGACCCAAAGCTACGAGGAATGCAAGACCCAATGGTGCAAGAGATGCTTCAGGCGCTGGGGATCGCCATGTTCTGCGTGAACTCATCCCCGTCGGAGCGACCCACCATGAAGGAGGTGGTGGCGCTGCTGATGGAAGTGAAGAGCCCACCCGAAGAATGCGGGAAGACTTCATCACAACAGCCTCTTATAATGTCTGTGAAACATGGTTAGTGGATGGGTCTTCTTCTTCGTTTACTGAGAGGAAGCTTCGCTTCATTTCTTCTTCTCTTAGTCTGATGGTGCCTTGCAATTGTTGTACAGCCTGTTAGCTTTGCAACTTTTTGTAGTCTTCTTCATCTTTCCCATCCTAAGCTTTCCGACTACAGAGAGAGAGAGAGAGAGAGAGAGAGAGAGATTCTGGATCTGTCAAATTTTTTTTCTCTCAGGAACTCGTAGCTACTAATGAATTTTGTTTTAGGAGTTTTCAAAGGAAATTATAGTGATCGATATATCAAAAAATTGACATAATAAAATTTATTATTTTTAGATAATATTTTTTTATGTTCATCGAAAATATTAAAATTTTAAATGAATTATACTATAATTTTTATATTTTTTTCTTATTTTTTAAAATTTAAAATACTTGATAATTTTAATATACTTATGCTAAGAAAGAACATAAAACGAACTAATTATAAATTATCCTCTGTAATTAACTATCTTTAATATCTCGATTTTTATAGTTTTAAAAATTATAATGATAATTCTATATGTATGAAAGTGAAATATTTAATCCTATTTTTTTTAGTAAAATATTTAATTTGATTCTTTTTATAGTATGGTGTGGTGTTTTTATTAATAAATTAATGACGTAAGGAAAAACATGATTAAATATTTTATTTTTGTAAATATAAAAATATCAATATAATTTTTAAAAAATAAATAATAATAATAATAATAATTAAATAGGGATAATATATAATTAACCCCCTAATAACACGATAGAAGGCATGGTTTAGTTGGATCTCCTAAACCACTTCAGACAGTCGTTGATCTGCTTTCTCCGGAATGCTTCCTGAAACAACTCCACGAACTCCGCCCTAGAAATGCGATGTGCTTCGATCCACAGCCAGGTAGAATCGAGTCCATCTGCTCACCGGAGATCCTCCACGATGCCTCGCCTACTCCCTCTCGACAGCCTCATCGCGGGAACGACCAAGGCCAGCTTGGGGGCCGCGGCCACGTTCCTGCTGCTCTGCGCGTTCGCGCTGATGGCGTGCGCTTCCCACGGCAGGCGGTGGTGCCGCCGGCGCCCCGAGCCGGTGATAAGCGTCCACCAGGTTCAGCCGGGGGCGGAGGAAGCCGAAGCGTGCGTCTGGCAGAAGAACATACTGATGGGAGGGAAGTGCGAGCTCCCCGACTTCTCCGGCGTCGTGGCGTACGATTCAAAGGGAAACATGGTCGCTCCTGGGCGTCCTCGCGCGGCGCTGGCCCTGAAATGAAAGCGAACGTGCGTAGCTGCAGCAAGGTTTCTTCTACAAGGAGGCTATCTGTGGTTCCTTTCATATCGGTATTGTTCTTATTTTAGGGTATCGACTGTGATTCCGTGGAGCTAAATTGATGAGATTATACAGTTAAGTGATAACTCTAAATTGATGAGAGTCTTTAAGATCTGACTTGATGAGATTAGTAACCTATTAATTTATTTAGTCTACATCATTAATCTAAATATTTAAGATTAAGTTAATGATAATAAATCCATTCTAATTTTAAAAACAAAATTAAGTCATAATTTAAGAGTTGAATTGATGTCTGACTTGATATATATATATATCAATCCTGATCAATTTGACTCAAACTTGTCATCATAGGATTTCTGAGCCAAACAAAATTTTGATTTCAATGAGCCAAAAATTGAAAAGAAAAAGATTGAATGAAGATGAGCCACATCGCAAACCGGGATGAAAGAACCACCCTATAGCATCAATTGGAATTAACTCTGACTAGTTTGTATAAAAAAAAAAATCTAGAAAAAAAGAATGAGGCCTTCATATGCTATGTTCCGAGAAAAGTGGAGTTTTCGGAACGAGGTGCAACAAAAGCCTATTTTACATTTTTAAGATTTGATCACATATGGTACAACACAATTTAACTTAGAGTGGTTTGATCGATATATAGTGCATGCAATAATACAAAGATCTACTGCCTAGTTGAAAGCCTTTTTCCTAAGAAAAAGAACAGAAATAGAGCCAAAATATGAGTAATGTGCCAGGCATAACAATTCAACCTCAAGAACTAGACTTGGATGCTTAGATTTTCGCTGCTGGCCCAGCCATCCTGGATCTGCGCCGAATACTGTAGATTCCAGAGAACATCATCGATCGAAGGGCGCTGGTTGGGATATCTGGACGCACAATTCAGGGATATTTCGATTGCTGTTCTTAAGGAATCGACAGCGTAAGTGCCTCGAATGGTGGGGTCTGCAATTTCCTTCAGGTCTGATGGGCTATCTGTCAATGTCTTTTGAATCTGCAGAGAACAATGAATGATTTGGATTCCGATGGCTAATATGTAGAAGTTTCAATCAACAGGCAAACTTAGACAAGTAGACTTCTGCAAGTGTGCAATACTGCCTGATCTCAGCTGACAATCTACTGTGAATTGAACTGCTAATGTCTGATATGTACCAAGTAGTCATTATGCAAAAGAAATTGATTATTGATATGAGCAGAATCAAATGTATAAATGTTTGATGATGTATCAATCCTAATCAGATGATACCCCACTTACAAATTTAGTGCATTAAAAGAAGTCTACATACCAGAGATATAAGAGAATCCACCTCATTTTTGGATCCAGTGGGTTTTCCTGTGATAATTTCCAGAAGGATGAGCCCAAGCTGATAAATATCTTCTTTCTCACCCTGTTCCAAATTGTGAATACTGCAAGCACAAGGAAGAAAAAACATGATCCCGGTCAAGATGAATTTCTATCCTTGTCCCCTTTTTTTAAGTTATATTTGCCCTAAAATGCTACTAAGGAACACAGTTTCGAATGTGTCGGCTTCATGAATTCTATCTAATATATTTTCTAGCAAGCACCGCATCCACCATGGATGCTTCCACTTTTATTGGTTGAATTGCCTACTTTTAAAGAAACATGCTTATGACAGTTTACCTGCCAAGATCTCTATCATCTGCCGCGACAAAGGGCCTTTCATAACCACCCTGATCGATCCGAAATAGAAACTCAGTCAATAGCTGAAACACAGAACAATTGCAGTAATTGTAATTCTTACTTGCAGTACCTTACTGTTTTTATTTTTTGGAAACACAGGAAGATTGTAATTGCTTATCTTTGCTGTCAGAGTTTTGTCCAACATTATGTTCTCTATGTTTAGATCATTTCCGATGATACCAGGAACTGTCACAGTATGCAGGAACTGGATTCCCCTTGCAACCCCAGTAACAGCTGCTAATCTTTGTGGCCACTTCAACATCTCGCGCTTTCGCCACTCTACAGTCACAGAGAGCATCAAGAATAATTATGTGAAGCCCTCAAATCTTAAATCAATATGATAATTTGTCATTCTTGTTACCAGTAATATGACTCCTTAGAGTTCCATTAGTGACATGTTCAGAAACAAGAAATACCATAGTGGTAGTGTTACTACCATCCTGGCTACCAAAAATGCAATGGCCAAGTATGCTGGCCAAGTGATGGTGCCTGAGCTTTGAGATGAGATCCAGGTACTGAGGTAGGCTCTGGGGTGAAAACTTTTGATTCAATCTCAAGCTTCGGACTGTCGTCAGAGAGCCGTCTGGGAGCCAACCTTTATAAAACTAAATGAGACCAACACAAACACAATTTAGTCAGTTCCAAAGCATTTCAAGCAACAATTTTGATTTCTCTGCTTCATATAACAAGAGAACATGAAGCTATATATGAATCATGGAAGAAACAAGACATTCTTCCAGATATTAACTAATAATCTGATGAATGTATGAACTAATCAGATGCACATCAAATTTACAAGTTCTTTTCTAACTTCCTTCTTTAAAACATCTTAAAATGTGATGTCATACTATTAAAGAACTCATTCACTAAAATCCTATATACATGCATCCTAAAATCTTAGTGCCGCACTATGACATTTTCACTATACAGATCGGAAACACCAGATGATAGTAATCTATGAACATTGAAAAGGCAACAGAATCAACCTTATTTCAACTTTGAGCACCATTTAACATGCTCTATAATGCAAATTTAGAGCAGGACAGTGAGAATTAAATCATCAGCAGTCATCTAAGCTGTTCAAAATAACTCACATATCAATATAGAGATGAAGACTTGCATCTTATTTGGCTAACAAAACTCTTATGAATTGCTGTTGTACCTGCCCTCGCGCACTGTCCTCTAACAAGTTTGATGGATCAAATCCATTGGTTGCCACTTGCAGCTCCTCCATGCTGAAAACTCTGTATGGTATTGACCCAAGAGTTTCTGTCCTCGCTGCCCCATACATGTGCCCTTTATCGAGGATTACAATTGGGTAGATAAATCTACGATTGGAACAGATCGAAGATACAAATAATCCAAGAGAAATATCATGTTGGTGATTTGCATGAAGGTTAGCTTTCTTACCTGCTTCAGCTGGTGTTCTTGTACTGTCTTGAGCTAGAGATTTTGTGGCCACTGGTTTGGGTAAGGCAATGGCTTTCGGCTCCTCTACTCTTGCTCTCCTGAACGCCAAGAAGACCAGTAACAACAGCCAGGCTGCCCCGACGACAACACCCCCAGCGATGCCCAGTATAACACCTACATTGCTCTTGGAGCCACTGATCTTGCTCGCCGGAGGCAAAACTGCGGCTACTGCTGCGTCATTGCAATAAGCATCGGAATGCTGGTGCCTCAGATCCCCTGCATTCAAGCAGTTCCCTGAGCTCAGCACCACTCTGGTCGAAGTATTGGATCGCATGCACGAAGGCAATCCTCCGACCAAATGGTTGTTCGTTATGTCGATGAATCCGAGCTCCTCGCCGCATGAAACTTTGGATGGAATTTCTCCGGTGAACGTGTTATGGGACAAGTCCAAGTACCGTATCGATCGTAGAGAAAACAGAGATGGGGGAATCCACCCAGCAAGGCGATTGGAAGACAAGTCCAACTTCTGAAGCTGGCGGAAGGATGCAAGACTCGCTGGGATCTTTCCACGAAAGCTGTTGTCTTTTAGAACTAGAGCGACAAGATCACTGCTCAGGGACGGGAAGTCGGGACCGAGGCGATTCCTGCCCACGTTCAATTCGACGAGAGCAGTCAAGGATTTGAGGTCAGGAACCGATCCGTTGAACGAGTTGCCGCTCAAGACGAGATTTTGGAGGCTCGACATCGTCATGATCTCCACAGGGATCGCCCCGGCGAAGTAGTTCGAGCTCAAGTTGAGAGTTTTGAGCGAGGGGAAGCGATCCACCTTCCCGGGGAGCGGGCCCCAGAGGCCGAGGGCGACGAGGGAGATGGTGGTCAGGCTCGGGAGTCGCGACAGGGTGGTGAAGAGGGAGTCGGAGGAGAAGGCCGGAGACAAGGCGTTGCGGCCGCCAGGGGAGGCGGGGCGGTCGCCGACGATGACGAGCTCGACGATGCGGTCGCCGGAGCAGGCGACGGAAAGGGAGAGGGAAGGGGGCAGGGAGCAGAAGGCGGTGGCGCTGGACCAGCCGGCAAGGGCCTGGGGGTACTCGAGGAGGCGTTGGAGGCGGAGGAGCGTCCTGGATTGGGAGGGGACCAGCTGCTGGGCGTCCGAGGAGATAAAGAGGGAAAGGAAGCATAGCAGGAGAAAGAGGAGAAGGCTGGCGGAGGAGTTACGCCTTGGAAGTGATAAAGATGTCATTTTTAGAAGTAGGAACGCAAGACTCGGTTTTATGGGATTAGAGTCTTCACGGTGCTCAACAAGACGATGGCCGACTGGACTCTCTTGTGTTGAAAGGAGAGACCGAGAGAAGAGGGAGATGAGAGGTCTGCGTCTATGGAAAGATGTTCCTTGCAGTGAGCTCTCAGTTGACTGGTAGGTCGATCTGTAAGTTGAAATGTGAAGAAGAAGAAGAAGAAGAAGAAGAAGAAGAAGAAGAAGAAGAAGAAGAAGAAGAATTGATTTCTTGGTGGGAAAATGGGTGAGAAAGGGATCCTTTCCTTCAGGCTTGAAGCTTAAGATTTGAGTGCTTTGGAGAGAACAAGGAAACCAGGTTTGCAGGAGAAAGCAAAGTACAGAAAGATCCGACAGTGAGGTATGGCAGCAGAGAATAGAAGAGAAACCGACATCCATGAAAGAGGAAGTGAGAGCTGCGGGTTGAAGTGCTTGGGAGTTTGTTAGAACGACTGAGGAGGCAACGACAAGTGGAAGATACACTGAGACATGGAGCAGCAACCAATCATATAGCCCTTTATATATAGTTCATGAAATTTCTTGAGATAATATTTGACATCAAATCATTACTGGCTTGACGTGATGTCGCAGATGAGTAGAATTGACGTGGAACCCAAATGGATCCAAATGATATCTAAAGTCTCCAAATTTCAGTTCGGACATCACATATTTCTAAAATATATTCTTTAATCCACTTATCAAATTAAGAAGAGCACAGGAATGAGTAAAAGGACTGCTTAACAAATCTTTGCTTCTCATCTAACGTGGGCACAAAGCTCAGCGTTGAGATATTAGATGCCATGTCAACATCATCATCTTATTAAAGATTTGCTTCAATGCCAGATGAAGAAAACTCAATCAATGCTAAGGAATCAAAAATAGTGGAACATTCATTCTTCCTCTTGACCTGGTTGAGTCTGGGTGGGACCATGCACAGCTGACCACTTATATCTGTTTCATAGCCAGAGATCATACCATTAATTTGGACCTTCAGTACTCACTGGAATAAAGAGGCTCAGACTGTAACTTCTGACTAGCACTTTTGAAGGCCTTCGGAAGTTGTAAGAATGGAGATGATCAAATACTGAACCATAATGTTCACAGAGCTTTACTAGACATAACACAACCCTAGATTCAAATCAGACTGTAAAAATCTTTCACTTCAATTTCTCTTTTCATTGCTCTAGAATATCTTACATGGTTTGCACACAAGGTTTCTCCTCTGAGGACTTTCATGTGAGGTGACTGAATGTTGTGTGTTATTGGACAGAACCAAATGAAGTGCAACCCTCCCATTATGAGGTTTGCTGATTTAGCTAGCAACTCTAATTGTGTCCACCATTACAGCCCTGGCATGATTATATTACATCTCCTCTCTATGATTTAGCAATCTTGCAGCTCCCATGTGGAAGTGTGGAGCACATGGAAGATGGTGACATATGTATATAAGATGAAATTTGGAGTTGGTGGTCAACTGCCTCCCTTGCCCGTCGAATTAGTTAAAGATAACATTCCCAAGGCTGGAGTAAGAGAAGGATTGATTGGTTGGAGTTGGTAAAAGAGGGAGAGAGAAGGAGATGAGTGCTTCTTGCTCCTTTGTGCCTTGTTTTGCATGTCATGTTAGGTGAAGTGAGCCTTGCATTTTCCTCAGTGGAGGTCAGTATACACTGCTAACTTGCAAAGGTGAGATCTGGCATGGGACATGACACTAAATGATAGAGGAGCATTGTTTACAGTACAAGAATAATGTAAACAAATGCATTTGTATATCAATATTAAGATATCATCCAACTGTTCTAGGTGATTTTGTCAAGGTTCATTCAATTGTTTATTCAAAAAAGGGAACATGTTCATTCTCTTGGATGCTCTCCCTTTCTTGGTTAGAGTTAAAGCTGCTTTGAGCAAACTTTTTCTTTTACTATTCCAAGGAGGACTTTTGACTTGCCCAGGATTGGCAAGACTGAAATGCCCCTCTCAGCAAAATACACATTTATGATGTTACTTCAGTACAAGTTCCTTTTTTGATATTTAACAATCCTCTCTTCAGGTATTTTGGTCTCCTCAATAGTAACGTAATTGAGTAAATTTTCCTCACAATTTAAATGAGATAAAAAAAGGATCAAGCTAGCTCTGTAAACTAAGATATAACAGTTATTAAACTATTCAAACAACCACAGTCTGGTTATGTATCCCAATCCATTATGTCCAATATATTGTGCGGTCAAAATCCACAGTACATAGTTATGCACAATTTATAGCAAGAAAACAACAAACAGAAAAAAAATTACATTATGGACAGAATAACTAATTGTCTTGTCCTCTATATTCCATTTTTTATAAAAAAAATAATATAAATAATAAAGAAATTAGGACAACAATCTATATCAATCCCATCTATGAGAACTAAACAAACAGCTTGATTCTAATATCTAGCTTCTCAAATGTTCCACATCTAAATGATAATCTAACGCAACTTGCTTCCTATTCTTATTTGAAGATTTCAACTTGGTTAGTTGCAGTTTGCTCCTAATTCTGACCAGGTAGAAAAGGAAATGCAAAAAAACCAGTGTTCTGACCCAATCGATAAACTCAAATTCCTTGGTTTTAATAGGGACTTGTTGAACTTTCTCAGCATTCAGCAAGCAAGCGTCATTCATGCTAAACCAAATCATAGGCACAACGGTTTCTTCGAACTCTCAATTATCAGTTCCAGATAAGAACACAATTCAAATGGGTCATTGTATCATGATTAAAGAGAAAGCAAGATTCACACGCTAATACCAAAAGTGCGAAAACACACTCATAATCACATATCAAGGCAACCATTTGCAAACTAAACTCACATTCTTCACATTCAGATTTAATTCACTTGAATTTCTTCAAGAGAGTTGGCTTCTGCACTTACATGAACGTCCTACATGATAAACAGATAAGTATAATTAGGAGGGAAAAAAGATTCAGGAGAGATATATGAATGAAATTAAACCAAGGTTGCTTATTTACCATATTCTCCTTGTCTTCATGTGATAATGATGCCTCCTCTGTAGGCAAAATATCAGCTTTATCACCTAAAATACAAAAGATGTGATCCTTCTACAGTAACCAAAATTGATAATCAAACAAAAAAATTGCAAGTTAATTTAAGCAGTTCTACCAATTGCAAATTGGATGGTGTTCAGCTAATCAGCAAAAAGGACTCAAGACATGGGCGTGATACAAAAAACGATCTATAAACCTTAATAACAGTTCATAATAATCCTTCTTTGGAATTATATCAAATACATGGTCAAGTCATAAAACTATGAACTTTAAAGAAATAGAAGAAAAACTGAGAATTTCATGAAGTTACCTGGTTCAGTAGGAGAATTATTTAAAGATCTCTTTATCTTCTCATTTCCATTGATAGGTTTTGTCCTGGGTTTCTGAGATTTCTTCTGAGTACTCGTACTCTTATCATCTTTATCGGCTGCAATATTTGCTTCAATCTTGTTATATAAGCCTCTCCTTGTATAGGATGGTAGTCTCTTCTGAATACCGTCATTCCTGTTTGAGTTAACAACTACAGGAGTGCTCACGTTCAACAACTTAGGTGTCAAATTGCCAGTTCTTGATGTAGATGAGATGCCGTGTCTCTCCTGATCTGGTCTCAAGGTCACCTCTTCAGGCAACTTAGAACTGGTTTCAGATAATTTTAACTTTTCTGTATCCTCCACAATATTGTATCTCTGTAGCAAGTCCTTAACGGAATCCTCTTTCTCAGCAACAAGGCTGTGCCTCTGTATATATGATATAAGCTCCTCGCGCATTCGATCTATAGGCTGTAGAAGTGAATCAATGGTATCTTCAAGTCCACAAGTAAAAAGAGACTAATGTTTACAATTTAGTAAATGAAATAAAATAGAATGCATACAAGAAGATGCAATCAACTTTACCTCACATCCAGACTCCAGTGCGAGCTTGAAGAAACCAAGTGAAATTGAATGTCTTGAAGATGATTCTGACAATTTGATCTGTGTTAACCAGTAAGAAACAGAAGATAGCACATTGAATTTCCGCCTGTTGATAGACTTTGACACTTCCAACAGTGGAGTATCACTGTTCGCATGGACATTTGATCTTTTTGCTCGGGTTTCTGATATTGGAGTTATGCTTCCAACAATGGTAGGACAGGGGCTGGCAGCAGGTTTGATCGGTATTGAGAGCCTTCGTGAAGGTTTTCTGCATTTCTCCTTTCCTGAGAGGTCGAGAACGCTTACACTCTTGCTAACTGCAGGAGAAGATCTTCCTCTAAAAAGGAAACTGAAGTAGTGAGTCTCAAGATTCCACAGATTATGAAAACCTAGTATGTTATCTGCTTCAAAGAATCCCCAATATAAGAACTGTGTTACAGAACAAAGTATCTAAACCAACCCTCAAAGAAGCTAGATACAGGATATAAAAATAGTTAAATGATCCAATATTTGATTACAGTAGAATAGCTTAGCAGACTCGTGAAACTTTCACCATTAACATTGCTTCCTCATTAAAAGATCCTCTCTTATTACTAAACTACTATGGTTGTATTCACTCAAACATAAAACACCTTACGAAATAATTTGTACCAGTATCAAGGAACTGAGAACTAACTGCAGTCGTTAAATATTATGAAAGTTAAACTAAGATTATTCAGAGTCCCAATTTATGAATTCGACATTTCTAATTGCAATCTCAAGTTATCAGACGAACATGCAAACATCAGTTGAATATTCGTTGCCATTGCTCCTCTATAGCACTTTGATTGGGACAAAGTAATTAAGTCTTAATTAAATTTGAGTTTGCAAGTATACGAAATGCTTTGACAATATGGAAAAGTAAACTGTTTAACTCAGAAACAAGAGGGGAAGTATGACTATACAGAAAATGTAAATATACCTACAAAAATCAACCAACAGAGGTAGCTCGCCATTCTTTATATCATGCCCTTCCAACTATTCGCGTTACTACATATCTTGGTACCTCTAGATCAAAAGATCTGTAAGAGGTCTTACCCTCAGTAACTAAGGAATGAGATAAGTTTGGTTACCTCGTCTCAATGACTGGGCCCAATTATCCACAAACTTTCTTCAGTGCTAACGAAATATCCAATGTTTGTTGGTATTTCCTGGAAATATTTAAGAATCGAAATGCCATAACCTGAATCTTTTGAGCAACATGTCGTACAGGAATCAACTCGTTAACTTTTGGTCCTGGACGGATTATTATTGAAATCCATATATTTCATTGAAGTCGTCGGTTCTGATATAATTCTTCTTCTTGTTTAAGACATTGGAATTGCCAGATTTGACAGATTTCCATATTATATATATCATAACATACACAATTAATACCAAATTTGCAATTATGGACACAATTTCAGATGTATTAATTCAACAGAAGAAACAAAGTTGGTCCAAAAATCATATACAAAGTTGTCAAGATAAAGAGAAAGAAAAACATAATAAAAATCCGTTACTCAACGAACTCAAAATTAAGCATTAATAAGATATCACCAAAACAGGTTTGATTAAGAAGTAAGAAGAGGAAACAGGAAACAACCTTTTGGAAGCAGACGAGTACCTTTTGGAAGCAGACGAGGAAACAGGTTCAGCGATCATCGGCTTCCCATCCTTCAGTCTGGCCTCTGATCGCAGCGGGTACCGCAGCTTCGACGATCCAGCCACCAGAGCTTAATTTACCACAAAAAAAAATCATAAATCCGTGGGAAAAAAAGGGAGAATGAGATCAAGAAAAGAATTGGCAAGGGGTGAATTGGTGATAAGTACCAGGTCGGACGGATTGATCGGTGATGGCTTCCATCCCTCTTCTCTCGCGGTGTGTGATAGATCGGTCGATCGATCCAAACGGGAGTAACTGCGACGGGTTTGGAGCGGCGATTGTGTTCTATGGATGCTTTGTTCCGTGATCCTAATCAAGGGCCGTTATAAAGAGGAAATGAAGGGTAAATTTGGGGCCCAAACGTTTGGATTCGAACTCGGGTTTTGAGCGGGAAAAAAGTTACGGTTTGGGAATTTGAAATATGAACAAAATAAAAATGTTTCATACACCCATAAAAAAGAACCCCAAAAAGATGCCCAGTTCAGGCAATGAATCAAGGGACGCTGTCGTGTGTCATGTATGAGGTAGATGGGATCGAGGGCTAGGATCAACTGGGTTTCTTTTTCCAGCTTTCTTTTGTGCGTACGTTCAATATCATGTCGCAATAAAAGAAATGGCGCGCTCTGTTCTGCCACGTTGCCTTCAACGGTCGGAGCGTCCTCACCGACTCCCATCCCGCCAAAAGACCGAAGTATGATTTGAGAGCGTGCATCTAAGTTACTTCACAGAGGTAACGCGAGCACGAGCCCACCATTGACCCTCTGCGTTGCGTATAATTACGTGGTTGGCCACGAGGCAGGATATGGCTCGCTGGACCCTCGATTCGTACAGATAGACGGCGACGATAGGCGGTGAACCATCGAACGGCACAGATAGACACTCTGAGTCACCAAATCTCGAGGCGTCTCCGTAAATAATGAACATATGGAAGGATTTATTTGGGATTACGGTTTGTAAACCCCCGTTGTCTTCCTTTATTTTCGTCCTACTCTTTTTCTTCCTAATCCTCTCGTTCGCTACTGTTCTCTGCTTGCCTTTCCGCATTGCATTCTCGCGAGAGGACGTTCATCTGTTCCTAGATCTGCAAATGTGCCTCAGATCTCTAAACGAGTCTCTCGATCAATGGACTTCCCCGGTAAGCTTCGGATCCTGCTCGGTCCGTCTTGATCATATCCTTTCTGATTTCTATGTGTGCTAATGTTCTATTCTTTTTATGATTTTCTTTTTGTTGGACATTGGATTTGTTTCTGGGGATTTGGTGCTCCAATCCTTTTGTGTGATGGTTGATTCTTTCTATTCGTGATCTCGTTTTCAGTTGAGTCTGTGGATTTCGGTGTAAGGATCGTCGTTCGTGATTGATTCTGACGGATATGCGTTTTAGGATTTTAAGGGTTTTGTTTAGTAGTCATCCAATAATTGTTGCTGGCGTACGATACAACTGGGAATTAGGGTTTTATGTTACTGTCATTGAGGTTTCGTTTCCGTTGGTTGCTTTCTCTTTTCTTCACGTCACTGGTTTTTCTGCAATTTTCTATGCTTCCTTATCTGTTTCCAAATGTTTCGTTCTCAGTTACATCTGTCGACCGAAATTTGGGTGTTGTCTCTGTATATTATGTTATAAATAGGCTGTTGGAATCTTCCTCCCTTTTACAACTGGAGTACGATATCTACGCCTGAAATGTGTTTGGTTTTATTGAAAATTGAATAGGCCCGATGAGCACGATTTTGATTCTTATCACAATTGGTTGATATTTACTTATTGCAGTAAAAGAATCTGATTATTTTTATTCAGCTTAAAGTTACTTGTCCTACTTTCCTGCAGATGGAAGTTCAGGAGACTAGCATTTAAAGGTTCCTGTAGATAGAAGTACTCTTTTGCGAAGGGATCATCAACATCTTATATATCATAACAAAAGGATGGTTCAGTATGCAATTGAGACTCATTTAGTCTAACTTGTTATGAATGAACTTGTTTGTCAATTACATGGATGACTATCTTACTTTGGTAGCTCTGCCTGATAGTGAAGAATTCAGATCTATTGAGTCTGCAGGGATGTTTTTAGTCAATTAGTTTCTTAGATCCAGTTTGAATCAGGTTATGTAATGACAAAGTGTATGCTGAATTTACAGTATTTTATGTTGTCAAATGAGTTGCCATCCTTATACAGGGTCATAGGAAGCTTTTAATCTAATTTTTTTTATTTTAATTACTTTTGTAGTCCTAATTTGTTTATAGGATAGTTTGGAAAACTTGATTAGACAGTTTCAGAGGCCTCTTCAGGTAAAAATTAATGGATGATGAAATTTTTTATAAGGAACTTCTTCAAAGGCTTTCTTTCTTTGGGTACGGTTGAGATAAAGTATATATAGTAGAGGTTATGGATGAGTTAGAAACAATGAGTTTATATGACTGATTTTACAGAAATAAAAATACTTCTATGATTTTGATAAACTTTACTTTCTTTTCTTCAGAAAACCCTATCATTCATCAAGATATCATATATAAATCTACCATATTTTATTGTCTAAATACTAACAGATATTTGATGCTCTTTTTACTTTTAAAGTAAGCTGCAATTGATAAAGAGCAGGCTGCTAGGAAAGAAACATGCAATGTTGCTGTGAATTTCCAGGGAATGAGGTATGCATCTGCTAATTGGAATTTAGTTTGTGTATTTATGGCTTAGAAAATATGTTTTTTTGTTTTTTACTTTAAGCTAGTTGGTGTTGGTGGCTTGTTAATTACTTCTCTACTCTGGTAAGAAAATAAATATTTTGGTTGTTTGCATACTGTAGTCCTCGGAACATGGATCCTTTTGATGCCCATTCTTGGGTAGTGATGATAAATCCTATTGTCAGGAAAGACTTGACTGAGTCACTTGGGTGCATGTTGCTATATACGCTGTGAGAACTCCATTCTAAATCCTAATGAGACATGTCTGCTGGAATGTGAAGTCTGTTTAAATTTCCATGAGGTTTAGCCATTTAACAACCTTGTGTTGTCCATAATTGCCTTATATGAAGTTTTCCTGAAAATGGCTGAACTATTCTGTCACAAATTTCAGTTTTTTCAACTGTGTTGATCTGCTTTTATAGGATAATAAAAATGGAAGGTGCAACTGTTGTAAGTTTATTTGCAAGGTTGTTTTAACCATGGTATGCAGTACGAATGGTACTGTCCGGTATGGGCGGTACGTACCGGTTTGACGGCATACTGGTACGAGGACCGCCCGGTACCGCTACAGTATTACAGTATTATACTGTAACAGTGCTACAGTGCTACAGTAATAAAAAATATATATATAATTGTTCGGTACACTAAGGTGTACCACTTAGTACGCCCTGATATACCGCTCGGTACATCGGTACCGTACCATACCGAACCAACCTTGAAACATCGGTACGATACGGTATTGCATATCTTGGTTTTAACTATGAATAATTTTGGTATTACAATAATACGATGAAATCATATTTGTGGCCAAAACTTTGTTGCTTCTATTCCTGATTTTCTACTTCAGGGATGGAGTGAATGTTCTCAGTGGCACAGAGTTTTTTTATATTAATTTTGCTTAGATATACAATTTGGGTTTTCTTATATCTAGTTGTTACTTTTTCTGAAAATTCATTTCCTTGTGAAATAGTTACTATGTCTTTGCGAGTTGCATGGAGACCAATCTCAAGGGCCTTGTCTGGATAGGGCTGGATCCTACAGGATTCTCTCTCTTACTTGGGTGGGGAAAAAAAATTGCAGATATTAGGATTGGCTGTTTGGGTGAATCTTATTTTCATATTTAACCTGTTGGGAAGGCCTAATGTCACCGGATAAAAGTAAAATATCTCATGCAGTCTTCATTTTGTTTTTTTCTCCTGTGCTTTTGCATGTCTTAAAAACCATAGGTGTTACTCGTCTACCTTCAGTCACCACGCTCTCCTCCATGCTTTGATGATCTGAGCACTGCATGCGGAGAATTTGTAAATTAAAAAAAATGAGATCCAACTATAATAATTTCGTAGTAGTAACTTTTTTTCACATAGCAACAGTCTTTCACTTTCTACTGTCTGTTTTGAGGTGTAAAATTGGATGCAACCCTTCTCCCGTGTGATCATTGCTGGTGTTCGCCATGCCTTCTCTTTTCCGTCTAATGTTGGAGGATATATTATGTTGGTATGTATAGCTTCAGGCCCTAACGAGTGTGCGTTGTTTCATTAGTCTGGGTTCACATTGTTTTGTTTATGCGATAGAGCTATCTACCTAGACTTCTCAAACCATGGAACATATCATCCTCTCATATGTGTTCATTTACAAACATCATCTAGTCCCTTTTCCACTTTCCCTTGTGCTGATTCTTTTGCAGACTGGTCTGGTGGCGTGAATTCCGGAAGCGATTCTCCATCAGATGCCCTTTTTTCTGGTAACAGTGGCTCTCTTCTTTTTTCCCTCCTTTAGTTATGAGAATCCTGATCATCATTTTGTAAAGCTTAAATGGTATACTTCAAATCAGTTTAACAAGCCATAATAATCCAACTGAATATAAATTATACCCAACTCGATCAGCCTGACCAGATAATTAGTGTCGATAACTTCGTTGGTCAGATGCAATTACATGAAGGTAAGTTTGCTGAACTAATTATTGCACGAGCCAGTTTTCTTGTGCCTTCTCTATTTTGCAGTGAGGCAAGTAATTTAGAGCGCATGAGCATAAGTTTACTTTGCCGACATGTCTTCCTTTACAGTTCTAGCCATTGGGATCTCCCCCATCACTCTGCAAAAGTCAAATAAAGTACGACAGTACAAGCCCAAAGTATTGCATACATCTCTTGGAGACCTGAAGTTGAATGCAGTGATGATACCGGCCATCACGCATCAGTGGTTAAAGGTAATACCCATAAGACATTAAATTTGCAGACAGCACCTTAATTACTAGAGTTCGCTTTATTAGAAGTTTTGTTTAATTGTTACTTTTTTATAGAACTAAAAACCTTATGGAGGATGTAACGTGTAAGAAATTGAGGTACGAGTTCGGCATCATCGGGTCAAAAATGAAGTTTCCAAGTCAATGACACTGATTACTGGGCGGTACATCACTTTTTCTTGGTGTGTTCAAGCAGCACTAGTGGTCAGGTTCCACAAGTGGGACACGAATTGGACCGGTCACTTCATCCTGTTTCTTGACGTTGCGAGCTAAGATGTGAGTGATCTCATCCTCTTCGCGTTATCTCAAATGCTAAGCTGATGTGGTGACTTTTCTTTAGGGGTTGGTTGATCTTGGACGAAGTGGCGGTGGAATATGTGCTTGCGGGGCGGGCTTGGCTACGAGTGCCGTGATTGAACGAACTGCATCAAGGTACATGATACGCTACCGTCTCTCTCCTTTTGTCTTTGCGTTTTGTTCGACATCAAAAAAGCATCAAAGACGAACCATCACTTCCAATTTTAGATCAAACAGCAAAAGCAGCTTTGAGTTGCCAAATGGCGTCGAGTATGTTTGAGCTTTAGAACGAGAATAAGACAATGGATGGCCATTCTCAAGTTCAAGGTGAAACAAATTGCCCACCCATGATTCGACAGGTACGTAAGCCAAGAGAACATGTTAGTCTAAAATTTTATAATCATTGGACAAGTTTTGTTCCCAAATTTTAGCGAGCATCTTAATATCCACCTGTTGTATGTAATCTAAATGTATATTTCATACATATATGAATTTGTAGAAAAGAGCAATAGGCACGTAAGCAAACACTTTAAAGAGTCAATAGTAACACTCGGCGTCTAGCCATGTAATTATTTAGGCATAACTGAATCAATAAATAGAAAAATAGATTTAGGAACTAAGGTATGGGTATTTAACCAAATGGACCTAATAAATTATTATCCACAAACATGTACAGAAACTCTTTGAATTCATCAATATCTAAATATAAAAATAATAGAGGTTGAAGTTAATGATAAATAATATTATTCCGAGGTTTATGTACTTCAATAAGTTGGCTGAGACTTTAACTCTTGATTTAGGATGGTTATGAGTTTGTTGAAAGGCTTTGCATAAAAGAAAAGTTCATCAAAGGATGAAAAGTTTAGTCAAGACAAAATCGGTCTGAAGTCAATTTCCTTTAATTTCCTAAGTAATGTTCTTTAAAAAGCATCTCCGCTTTCATTATAAACATGATGGGAAGAGTAGGATAATGGTATCATGGAAAGTAGAATAGAAGATGAAAGGGAGAAAAAAAGAAGAAAAGGAAAAAGGACAGCAGAAAAGAAGAGTAAGAAAGAATAAAGAATGATGTGATTAAAAAAGACTGGGGAATAATATATAACACAGCACGGGGAGAAAATAATCTTAAAACCACAGTGTTTCATCTTCTAACAGCACCAGCAAAATAATCCAGGGAATCAAGTCCGAGCCTTGAGAAGAACTGTAGGCATAAGAATAATTTTTACAGAGAATCAAGTCCAACCATGAAGAAGTTCAGGTATAAGAATAATTTTGGCAGGAAGAAGATTAAATCTGGGAGCAGTGGGATTCTCAACAAAATATATTAGGTGAAGTTGCAGTGAGGAAATAAGAATTGAACAGTTTCAGGTCCGCAATCAACTGAGTTCACATTGAAGACACTCAACACCCTCTTCCTAGTAGGATGTCCTAGGATTTTTGTTGTTTGCAGCAAACTGATAGTATCTGATGTTTAAGAAAGGAAATTCGATGCAAACAACCAACAGGAAACAATTCCAAAGCTTCTAGAAATAAAGCAAATTACAAGACAAGCTAGAATTCTGAGAGCTGTTTTGAGAGTTTGGTGGACATGTTGACTTTATTTGGATATGACACTTGGTAGAAAATATAAATCCATATAATAGTTCATTTTTCAATTGAAAAAGATCTACATGGTAGTAGTTTAGCCATAGGATAATACAGAGCTCATTTGAGTTCTCTCAAGTCTTTTGAGGATTCAAGTCAGTGACCTCAGTCACAAACATTGAGCAAACATGACTCGGCTCCTTTTGATGAGTTTTCTTCAGGCATCTCCACATCTTCCCTCAAATGCCAGTACGAGAATATGCTTTATTCACATGCTGAAAACAATTTGATATCTAATTCCACTTCAGCTACAAGAACAATCTCAGCCACAACATATTCTTCACTCCCAGATCAAGACCACATCATCTGTCACTCTCACATCAATACTTCACCAGATTCCTCTTGCAAGCATAATCAGCCAGGACATTGCTTTCTCTTTAACATCTGTTTCTATAATATAGATCAACATGTTTCCTCCACAAAGGAAAGAAAAAAGTATGAAAACCGTCAAGGGTTTTGTGGCAAATAGGACAACTCCATCTTTTACAAGACATTGATAGAGTACCAGTGTATATCTACATCATCCTTGGCATGAAAGTTTTGGATCAAAATGAAAACGAGAGATTATACATGCTCACATCAAAGGACTGAATACAACACAACAACACACCTAGGATTTAGCTTTATTTACTATATGTGTGTGCCACTAAATTATTAATTATTTTTACAGGAGTTGTTACTAAGGCCAAAGCCAGAAGACTTGCTCTGCCACATGGAACTCGGAACCACATGAAGTATCCTCGGGGCTCAAGAAGTTGCAGTGTTTAACATCGTCAACATCACCAATCTGTGAGTGGTCAGAATGATCGAGTCTGAAAGCATTTGAGTAACTGTTGAGCTCCATGAGCATGGAGCAATCACCTTCATGAGTGTGATGGGGGCTCTCTGAGTCTAATATGGCGCTATTGGCAGAGCTAATGTCTTCTTGCTTGCATAGCATGGTCTGGCCATGCAATTTCTTCACCTCAAAGGCCAAAGTGGAGTCTAAATTCTGCAAATTATCAGGTAATCTTTTTGGCTCAAATGATTCCAAGCTGCCATTCTCCTCCTTCAGAAGTCTTTTTGTGAGAGAAAGAACCTGTTGTGAGGAAGCCGATGCGGATAAGAATATATCCACTAGCATTTAAAATGATATCAAGAATTCAGTGTAATGCATTGATGTAGATCTTCAAAATTAAATAGATAAAACAGCCTTTTCCTGTATAATCAAATTAGAGATTCTCATGAAAATCCAAACGATCAAGCTTAGAATTAGTAAACCCAGTGTAAATAACATCAGATAACAGTATCGCTTCATGCTAGAGGCTGTGTTTTACTTGTAGGGATATTTGAAGTTCTCATAATTGCCTATATATCAGGTAATATTGTTAAGGAGTTGATAGTCACATGTTTGTGCTGTAATTACCTCAGCCTTTAGGTCTTCCTTTTCCTTCACAAGGCTATCATGATCCATCTTGAGAGCATCATAACTTGATTTCAGGGACTCATAATCCTTTTCTATCTGCTTCGTCTTCCATCTTGCACGGCGATTCTGAAACCACACAGCAATCTGCCTGGGCTTTAGTCCGAGAACCTTTGCAATCTGAAGCTTCCTCTCAGGCTCAAGCTTGTTTTCCAACTCAAAGCTCTTCTCAAGGAATTGAACTTGACATGTAGTTAGCCGCCTCTTCTTGTCTGGCTGATGAGGATACTCACCTGAGTCATCATCGCCGATTTCATCCAACTCGACTGGCCTAAACAAGGGTCTCTCGAGGCTGTTCCCATGACCATCTTTTAGATCTGCAAGAGACCATGAGCCTGAAGCAGAACCTTACACTTCAAACTTACTATGTGAGCTTACTCTACACTTTGAAGTTCTTTAGATGGGTATGAGTAGAACATACATTAATTTAGAAAAAGTTGAAGTCCAATGCAGTGAGTGACATTACTGATTGATCATAACATGGTAAAAGATAAGGAGGATACATATGAGTGTTGTGCAGACATAAAATGAAAAGAAGTATTTTGCAGATATAGTTTTTGACGATTAACATTAATAGAACTAGAAAGTAGACTTGTAATTTGATTATAGATTTTATGATGATTATGCTCAAAACCAAATATGACTAATTTATGCATACATATATTTTTGTTCGTTCCAGGGAAAGGTAAATCAGAAATCACAGAGGAAGAGATTCTAGGCATCAAGTTCAGCAAACAAGACTGATTGCAACTAAATCAGCACTTACTGAGATACAAGTTTATAGGAAGAGAAAGAAGTCAGCTTGCTAGTGGAAGTGGCAAGAGGAGAATGACAACCATAAACCCAACCAGGGGAAAACAGAGTAAATGCAAAGGAAGGTGAATACCAAGAGAGCCGCTTGAAGGCGTTCCCGGAGCAAACAGAGGCCCAGAGAACTCTTTGTACATCCCCTGGCTCTGCAGCAAAACCGCCATGTTTGAGCTCCCATGATGCCTCTTCCCCACCATTTCTCCCACTTTGCTTTCACCGCAAGAACGAATAAAGAGATCTTTCTTCTTGTTTTGGGGGTTCTTTACTCCCTTCTCTCAGAGGCAGGTTATGATTCTACCCGGGGTGGATTGGAAGCAGCTGGGCATGTTTTCTCCCACTAAAAGAACTTGTGACGGAAGAAGCTGGTGATCATGATGACAGAGACATGGGAAGAGGTGTGGAAGAAAGGGCCACTGAGACCCATCTCTTTTTCTTCTGTCTCTCTATCAGGAAAATCGAGTCTGTTGTGCGTGTGAGAGAGAGCTGGTTTCAATCTGAAGGGAGACTTAATGGTGTGATGAGTCCCAGAATTCTCCTTTTGTTCTCAAAAAGCTTGGTTCTACTTGGAAACAGAGTTCCAGCGGTGGAGAAGGGAAAAGATGTTTGAGTTTGGTTTTGATCTCTCTGTGGCTCCTCGATCTACTCTTTTTCTCTCCTTTGTGAAGGGGTTTGAGGGAATTATATAGTGAAGAACAAGAACAAGATGCCACTTGTAAACGATCTTGACAGGAATATCCCCATGGCTGTCGCTTTCCTTGTTGTCAGTAATAATCGGAAAAGCTTTCTCTTCCTAAGCAAATGAAAAATATTTCCTGCGCAAAGACTACCACTAAAAACATTTTGGAAAAAAAAATATAATTTTCATCAGAGAATATAATGAAAAATATCTTGAATAAAATATATTTCTACAAAGCCAGATCATGCATACAAAAAGTTCAGATTTTTTTTATTTTAGATATTACAAGAAATATGACAATAAATATTTGTGAAACAGGGTTATTTCTTTTCGTTTAAATCTCTAAATTAATGTCAATGGGATAAAGGATCATGAACTACCATTATGTTACCATAAATTAACTCGATTTGATTTGGATCCACATGTATAAAAATATTTTCAAGTACGATCAAAGTGATCTTGGATGTTTGATATTGTGCAAACAGAGATAGGTTTTCAACTTTAATGCTAATGGAATCAGAGTGGAAAGAGATAGATAAACAACATGTGATCTCAATTACTGAGCTTTTTATAATTGGTCCAACTAGAGAGAATATTTTCTAATGTAAAAGAATATTTTCTTCATATTTTATATTTGGTGAATACTTGACTAACTTGGTTATTGACGGAATGTCCTAGTCTCTTTGTATTGATTGGGTTGATAAGTGTTAGACGAGACTTTTTCGGATTGCTCTTCAATTCCTGACCCCCGATTTCGTTGGAAACTTCATTGACATGTAATAAATTTAAATCACATAACTAAAGCTTGTTCAATATGGATTGGCCAATGATTATATATTATTCTAAGATAGTATTGATTATTATGAACTTTGTCGACACTATCTTAGATCAAGGCTACGAGGCAGGGGTAAGATCCTTAATAGTCAATCATAGCTTATGGAAGATATTATAAATAATATATATCTACAGAGTTATCTATATCGATCATAACCCTCTTAACTAGGGCATTGATAATTTAGACAAATATGATAAAGATATCACCATGATTGAGATTAAGGTGCTTTGCCTCCTTTTTCTTGAACATTATCTCATAATCTCCTTCTAACATTCAACATTTCTCGATGGTCGCTCAAGCATATGTTTTGTTGGCTGATGAGCTATCTCCTTCGAAGTTTAGATCATCAATTATAACATTGATCTATCTCTCCACTAGTTCCTTGGGTCACGGAGATGACTCTCAATGCTTGTGCATAAAGTATTTGAGGTGCCTTGGATATATGAGCTATTTTGTGTACTATTTCATATTAAGATAATCCTAAGTGTCGTAGTTATAGTCCTGATTAAAATTTATAATACTTTATCTTGTCATGCCTCCCCTATTGAGAACTTCATGGGAAGGGGGTTCCACGATAACCTTTCTCTTTGATATAGAGAAAAATATTCGTTTGAGACATGTTAAGGGAGTCAAGTGCACGTGAAGTCTCGATGGCCACGCTCGGTCGAGTCCTCTTTGTCAAGGTGGACTTAGAGTCAGGGTTGGTTGGTTAGGACATCTCAAGTAAAAAGCTTAACTGCTTTTCAATTAAGGACCATAAGAACTAAGAGAGCTTCAACCTAAACATGAATGTTTATACGAGGACTAAGGGTTGTGTGTTATTGATTTCTCAAGCCTCATTTATGAATCGGGTGATGAAGTTTGCTAGCATCTCCTCTTCCATCGGGCCAATAAGGTAGTGGTCATATGCTCGGGGTGTATGCTTCCGATAAAACATTGTTTGAACTCTTTAGCCAACTGAGCATAAGTGATCATTGAGAGTGGTTTAAGATGAGAATAACTCACGGGTTATGCCATATAGTGCTTTAGGGAAGGTGTGATACATTAAGGTATTTGACATGCCATAAAACACTCTATGAGTATGGAAAGTTATTATATTTTTTGTGGCATTTGACATTCCATAAAGTGTTGTATGAGCATGGAAAGTTATTATATTTTTTGTGGCATTTGACATTCCATAAAGTGTTGTATGAGCATGGAAAGTTATTATATGCTTTATGAGATCTACGCCATCATTGAACACATATAAGGTTAGCAGCCAAAAGGTTGGGGGAATTGACTCCTCCTGGATCTTTTGGACAAAGGGAGATTCAACCAAGGCAGATTGCAATGAATCCTCATCCTTCGGTAGATAGAACTCTTGGTCAATTTTCTTTAGGCGTCAATCTATCCGTTGGATTTGTGCTCGTATAATATAGTTTATAGAGTTCATCGATTGGGCCTCTAATTTAGGTGCTGCTAACTGGGGCCGATAAGGTTCATTAACCTTGGCAATGAGAGATCATGAAGTTCTGTTCGATGGATGATCGATTAGTGATGAGAGTTACAATCAGTCGAGGCATGTTAATAGGGGTCTAATGAGCCATCAATTACTACAAGACTAGAACTGTCACAAACTAGGCTAGTTACGGGATAAAGGGGATGACAAACTGTATCATCCCAATTAGCGCATGTACCTATTAGGTAAGTTTTAGGAAGACCTTCGTAGGCACTATCATATGTGTAGTCGTTCCTACCCAAGGAGAGAGTCCAAGGTCATTACATAACTATCAGTACTGAAGTGGAGTCTATGTTACGGTGGAAGTGCTGAGGGTAAGAAACACAAGTTGTTCTTCGCCATCGGTGAAAATATTATGGGTGGGAGATGAGGTGTCATCGCTAGAGCACTTAGAGAAGATCGATAGGGTGATGTTCTTATGATATGTGGGCCCTCATTCTAAGACTAAAATATTATGCATAAATATTAATATTAGTTGGATCAACCCAACTTGGTTTGGATCCACATACATAATGTCTCTGAGGTGCAATCGAGGGAGCTTTGGATATTTAATCCAATCTGATATTAACTTGTAAGAAGACCAAGGTTGAATGAGATTTTCGACGCGATCCTCCTGATACTCAAATTAATAATTAAATAAAATAGAGAGAGATATGAGTAAACAATGTCTGACCTCAATCACTATGATATGGTAGGTTTTTAATAATTAGTCCAAAATATTTTTTGGACATTTTATTCTAGGTTAATGCTCACGTGGCTGGGTTATATATCGGATAAATATTTTTTCTATCAATAAGAGTAAAATAAAATTTATTTGGAAGTGTATTAATAAACAACTATTATGAATTGTTTTCTCTAATTGATAAGACTCAAAGTCGAGTTTAGATTTCTTTTCTCTAATTGATGCATTTACATCAACGGACACGAAACATCAATAAGATGGATTGAATCCTCAGCTACAATCCTGCCCTGATAAAAGACTTGGGTACTCCTCACCTCTCGTATGAAACCAATGCAGCAAAAGCTTCTTTCTCTTCTTCTTTTGTTTTCCTTTAAAACCACAAGAAGAGAACAATAGTTTTAATTGCCTAAAAATATCATGGGCATGCATGAAAGCCAGTGCAACATAGAAAAGCTCTCTCCGATCTTTCTTGACCCGGTCATCAGATCATTGTCAAATTAGTTTGAGGCAATCCAAACATGAGTATCTGCCATTGCTTCATTGGTCCAGCAGATACCACCAATATATGCATTGCCTTGGAAGTGCTCGTGAGAAAGCATTGCATTCTTTCAAGTCACTCATGGAATCTTCAATCAAAAGATAAACCCAAAGCAAGACAAGTTGATGTGGGAATGTCCAACTGCATTCATCATTGAGAAGTGGCTAATTGGCCAGAGATAAGAGCACGCAAGGCATGATGATGGTGAGTCCATCATAATTTAACTGTCTAGAACACTGCAGAAAGACAAGAAGCTGATGAAGGAATGATACCTGAATCCATAGGAGCTGGAGATAGTCTTTGAGCTGGCCGACACCTACCTCTTCACCTTCTATGCGAATGCCATGGCTTTCCCCTGTGTCTTGTAGCTGTACATATGTAATTCTTGGCATTCCTTTCCCCCAGCTGTGGAGCACTCCCCTGTTTCTTTACTTCACAATCTGTCCTCACCTAAATGGAATAATTAATTCATCACCATCCCTTGTAACATGTTTTTAAGGACATCTCCTTTTGACACAGCCTATCACATGTGTCAAGTATAATCTAATAGAGTTGGTAATAGCTAGTGGATGAGGCTTAAAATCATAGTATTGCGTCTTCTTTTCTTTTGTTGTCTCTCATGTGGAAGATCTCTCTTCATGTTCAGTAAGTCTTCAAGTCATACTACACTGTAAGGATTCATGTAACAATTCACCTGAGATGCAACATACAAAGCTATGACACATCAAAATAGATGAGACAAAAACTATTTGGAATTCCACATTCTGCCAAAATCATCGAAATCAACCCTATTCCGGATAAGCTTTTATCACCTTTAAAGTACATACGAGCAGAATTGTCTCATACCGAAACAAAACGTACAGGCTTTTGGGCGAGAATCCAAGCACAGTGAAACCTGAGAAGCGGCAGCAGCACCGGCGAAGCCGACGCTTTTGGCTACTTGTGCACGCAAGCCGAGGCCTCTGCAACTTATCACTGCCACCCTGAAAACGAAGCCCACACGAGCTCATTACCATTCACATGCTTTGGGTGGAGCCGACATGTGTGCGAGTTCCTACATGAGCTCACTTCCTTTCATATGTTACATTATACTGGAGGATGCACAAGAAATAGCACAGAACCACACGAGCTTGTTTCACTTCACTTGTTTGATTACAGCCCAAGAAGAAAGAGCCGGCGAAGCAACCTTTTAGGAAGATTACATCAAAACAAAAGTTAATTGTCACGGATCTCCACAAGCAATGAGTTCTTGCAGAATTGGATAAATGCCCCTGTAAACAAAGTCAGATGCTGTTGCAGGAGCAAATCAGATGCCGTAAGTGCAAGAATGGTGTTCTTGACAACCTAATGATCTTGAGCACTCAAGTAATTATTTGTGGGTCAGCAGCATCAGTCTCCTTTTCCTTCCTGCTGTAAACTCAAACTACAATGAGCTGTTGAGAGCTTGCAGCAGCAACAATCTTCTGAACAAAAAGCAAGAATACCAGATTTGCTTCGTACAAGGATAATTGGGATGAGTTGCTTGTAGTTAAAAGCAGAGATGGACTTGCTCAAGTTTAGGTAGTATCCAAATCAGTAGGTTGATGTTTCTTGCCAGGATTTGAGCAATTGTCTTTATCTGCAGAGGCCTTCTGACCAGCAGCCAAACCTGATGCCAGCATCGGAGCTTGGAGAAAAAGAAAGGGTGGCACTCTGTTATACATTAGAAGAACACCAGGAATGCGCTTGTCATCTTCAATATTTAAGAACCCTCCACGGTGCGCGGCCACCTTTTGTTAAAAGTATCTCTGCTGCAAGCTAGCTTTTGATTTATGGGTTAGAGGCCTGCAAGAACACAATTTTCTATCAATCAAATTCTCATTAAAGACAAGGATTTAACCTCAGTAATAGCCCCATTCTAGCAAAAGCGGTCTGCAAACTTTCATACAAAAGCAATGGATGAAGGCAGCCTTACTTTAAAAAAGAAGTCAGGAATGCAGCCAACCAGCAGATAAGCAAAAAATAGGGTCAATGATGAAACCAGAAACAGGAGATACAGAATTTTTCACCCATGTTTCTAGTTAAATGAGTCAAATCTAATTTCCATTAGTATAAATCTCTGACAAAAATTATTTAACAAAAATATCACTCTTCATCTTGTCAACCAATTGTGTGCTAGTGCCAAAAAAAGAAAAAAAAAATGAACATTGAGAATCAAAATGAAAGCAGGCCCAATAACCTAGCTAAACAATGAAAAAACAATTTGATACCAATTATGTTTTTCTTTTCTCCACAGACAGAAGATTTGGTTAGTTCCATCAACTTTTCTGGTGGGTTGGATGACATCACGTTCAGGGAAGAAGGCAAACGGTCATATTACATGTGATTGCCATAGTGCAATTTGCAGCATACACTTGACAAAAAAGAAAAAGCTGAAAAAAATCTAAATCCTATGGGTGGAGATGACACTATTTGTATGCACGGCAAAAATTTCTTGTACAACAAACAAAAGTGTTAAGCATCTGAACGCCCAAGTATCACATACTTCCAGTTGAGAAAAACCAAAAAAGGATGGTAAGTCAAAACAAACATAATTTACCAAATTGTAACCTAATCCTCGACCAATGGTGAAGGAGCTTAGCCTTTCATAGTCCCAACTGAAAATCCACCATTGTTGACCTGAAAAATAAAATAATACTGTCAACAGCCGCTATGTGGTTTCCAGAGGTTCCAAATAAAACGTACATCTGCATGAATCCTCACAAGAAAATAATATATTACATAATATGTAACTAAGTTCACAACAAAGTAGAATACGACTCAAAATGTGATGTAGAAACAATTGGGCTATATGTTATTTGAATAAATTTTATTAGTTTACAGAAATTTTGCATATGTCATAAATTGCCACATGGCAACTTCTACTCAAGACGAAGAAAAAGGAAACAAATAAGAAAAACGAAAGAGATCAAGTTCGTTATTGATTGAAGATCTTAATTTTGATTGAATGTCTTAAAGATTCACCTCTATCTATCCATCGATAATATAATAAAAAAATTATCCTTCAAATCGAGCCAAGAATATTATAATTTTCGAAGGAAGGGATAGAATGCGTATTTGATTTGCAATTGTAATTTTTCATATTTTCACATTTTTTTCTTTTTGTACTTAAGCCTATAAAAAAGGGACTAGAACATTATAACGGAGATCATCAGAATCAATCAATGAATTGAGTTGTTATCCAATGTCGTATGTGAGTGGTGTGAGACCATAGTTATATTTCTGATGGTACGATTCTATCATCCACGTGTAGAGGTGCGAGACCTTCATCCTAGGAGATCGCTAGTTGAGCAAGAGCAAGTTTGGGAATTTTTCAATTTTTTTATTGTTATCCTTTAAGTTATTGTCATTCTCTTATTATAAAAAATATACCTCAATTACTTGTCCTATAGTATATTTGGTATGGTCTAGCCAGATGTTCCATCATCATGGGCGATTCAAATTTTAATCATTTGAACTTAAGATTAGTTCTTGGTTAGCAACAAACATATGATGCAAGAACAATTTAGCTTATATGTCAATTGAATAAATTTTATTAGTCAAGAGAAATTTTGCATGTCATAAGTTGCCACATGGCAACATCTACTCGAGGCGAAGAAAAAGAAAGCAAATGCAGAAAAAAGCATAAGGAATCTTGAGGTTGACATATGCAAATTGAATTTTCATACTATTAATTAATTAATTAAAATCCTAACTTGCCTCCCCCCACTTTAGGGAATATATTTTAGTTATTTTCTTATTTTAGGTTATAATTAGGGAAAATGTTAACTCTAATTTGGTAAAAACCATAATTAGAATCCTCTTAGTCTCTTGCCTAATCACGTTAGTTCATACAAAAATGAAGCAAATTTAATTGTTTCCTAAATTTGAATCACGGACCAGGAGACATATAATATCAAATATGGCTACATGATCATGGCGGATCCTTACCATAATCAATGAAATTATATCACTTCTCAAGCAGTTCGATTCCTTCTTGATCACACATGTCTACCGCGAAGGCAATCGAGTTGCCAATTGGCTAGCAAATCATGCAAGAATGCACTTCTGTCTTTTGGAGAGGGGAGTGGCCCTCTGTTCTTTATCTTCTTTTTAATCTCTTATCTGAGGGGTGACTTTTGTACCGATGCATTTGTTCAATAAATAAATGTACTTTTGAAAAAAAAAATATGGCAAACCGTATTTATGAAAATTTGTAGTTTTTGGAAAAAGGAGAAATATCTCCGGTGATTACAAATAAAGAATCTATAGCAACATTAAATTACATGAGGATAAAACAAGCACAATATGTCCATAGAAGACCTATGAATCCACTAATTAGGTGAGCTAATGGAAAACAGAGAAACGGCAACAAATATTTTATTAGAAATAACAATAAGATAGTTAATGACTCTTAGATTGACTAGTGATTGTATACGATATTGTCTTCAAGAAAGCTCAATGGCAGAAGATGTAGTCAACTCCAAGAAGTTAGGACCTTACAGCGCTGGGCCGAAGTCAATCGCAGCGGCGGCATGGGGCAGAAAGAACCCTAACAAAAGGGGTGTAAGGGATCGAACAGACGGGGCAGAGGTGGCCTTGCGCCGGCCGGAATCGCCATGATTCAGCCATCGCGAACTCCATTGTGGGTTCTTGAGTTCGATCGAGAATGACCGGTGGCGCGGTTGGGTTGAGGAAACCCAACTAAATAGCCAGGCAAACCTCATGGGCCGGGTCGATCATATTGGGCCCGACCAAAAATAACGGGTGTTGTAACGTTCACAGCGTCATTTTGGACAATGAACGACCAACTTTTCCGTTATATTCTAGACATAATCACAATAACACGACCCGTTATAACCGTTACAATGACACGAAAAGTTCGGTTGCGTCAATATAATGAGACGGATATCTTGAGTTCCCTGCGCAGACTCCGATTTGTTCTCTCCTCAACTCCCCTCTCTTTCGTCGTTACTGTTGTGCCTTTGTTAGGGGTCGAAAGAAGCGGAAGGAGGAGCTCCAGGGAGAGATCGATGACGGTGCATGTGGGGATGGGACTCTGCAAGGTCCTGCTCTGGGCCGGAGCAGGTGATTCCTTCTTCCACTCCGATCTTGGGCGTTTCTCGATTCTTGTGTTGACCGATTTGATTGAATTGTTTTGGATTCCTAGGGTATACTGGCTCGGTCTTGCTGCGTAACGGCATGCTGTCTGATATCCTATCCGATCTTCAGGTTTGACTCTTATTTGATCTCGTGCTTGTTGTGATTTTCCTGAAATAGAATTCGATAGGAAACCCACCTGATTTGTGTGAGCTGGAAGATATTTGACTTTTAATTGATAGATTTGAGATCCTGAGATCGTTTTGTTCAATTGGTGAGCAGCAAATGGTCAAGGGGTTGGAGCAATCTGCAGAGAAAGCAGGTGTTGATCGGGAGCACGGTGACGCACTTGCTTCGCAGGTACTGGATTTTTGCTTGTTAGTGTAAACTCTATGTCCTAGTTAAATTGGCTGTAGGTAAATGCATCCGTGGCTGAAATAGAAATTTCTGCTTCTTGGTTACTGATTATATATCATTTTATCAGTTTGTCAACCTTGGATTTTATGATTTTAGACGGTGCTTGTGAAATTAGTGGTTATTATATGTAGAATTTTTTTTTTATGAAAAGGATGTGCACTGCTTGAATTTCTGTTGATCATTCAAGAATTTTCACTTTTTTCTTTTGTATATTGAGTTCTCTCCTCTCACTTTGTAGCTCTCATTATTCTTGTCATTTGACAAAAATAATTTACTGTTGGGAGACTTTTAGATCAATTCTAAGCAATGCCATTCATACATGGAGAAAAAAATGCCCTCTTAGTACGGCACTTTTGGAGTTCATATCCTCTACTCTTGTATCTTTGCTGATAATGTCACATGGCAATAAGGTGGTGTTTCATGACATTCAGGTGCGTCAGTTAGGCATGGAGGTCCGACAACTTGCTTCAGTGCGCCCAATAACTGTCCTGAATGGAAATTCTGGTTCAGCAGGTATTTTTAAATAGTATATATTTCAAGCACAATTTAAAGCTGCGTTTGATAGTTTAAAGTAAAAAGTCGACCAGAAATATGTTCCCTCCAGCCTCCATCCCACTAACTTCCTCTTTTTTGTCACTGATAATTTTTTGGTGCTGCAAGAAAGTTGTTTTGGATAGGATGTTGTTTAGATATAAAAAAACTTCATACTCTCATGGAGTTGATAAGCAATCCATAAATGGATCGACATTTATCAACTGAAATTTACAGATTTTGGGCAGTCTAACATTCTCTTTGCTTGCAATTGATATTCTTGTGTAATCTTTTGTGCTTTACAATTTGACAATACATACAAAAGATAATTGTCAGCTTTGTGTTAGGATGGTTTTGACTGATCCAACATCTTCTTCCTCTAACAGGAAACATGTCATCTCTTGCAATTCCAGCTGCAACCCTTGGCGCATTAGGATATGGTTACATGTGGTGGAAAGTATGACATTCCAATTATATTTTACTAGTTTATACATGTTTGAGGATATCATCTATTCTTGATTAATGTAATCTTTAATTATTCCTTGTATAAGTATGCTGACAAGTTTATGCCTGTTTCTTAGTATGTGTTTAATTAATTCTTGTTTATTTTGACGATGACATGTTTGAGGATATGCCTGTTTATTTTCCAGGGCATTTCCTTTTCTGATCTAATGTATGTCACAAAAAGTAACATGGCTAATGCAGTTGCAAGCATGACAAAACATCTGGAGAATGTTTCTTCTGCTCTTGCTGTAAGTATTAGATTTATAATCAGTACATTCCCCTTTTATATTTTTCTCATCCAAATTATAGTGATTGCATATCTTTGCTCAATTTGAATTAATCCTAAATAGCGAAAAAAATGTACTGACCTTTTCTTTTTCCTAAGAAAAAAATAAAATATTACTAAAGGAGACTAGATATGAAGTACTGATCCTTTTATCATCGTCTTATTTAGATAGTTTCTATATATATACTTTTACTTCTATACCATGATCAAGATGGGGCATACTAAGGTACTAGTTTGATAGCAAACATTTTCCTTATTTGTGGTGCATTAGGATCTTGGATTCTTTCCTTCCGTTGATTTCATGACATTTATTCAGTCTATATGCCAGATTCTTGGGTTGCTTCATTGTGCATGCTTGAATGCATGCATATGTGTATGCTTAGAGATGACTAAAATATAAGACAATTTCAATCTAAATAGCCTAAACATCTAGCTGAGCCCTGGAATACTACTATAGGCTTGGTAGAAGAGAACTGGTGGTTCTAATTGGTGGTTCTCTAGTTTTGAGGCATAAGATCTCATTGGTATGGTGTTCAGTATTGTTCTCCTTTACAAAAAGGTAACTCTTTCATGTACATGTGCACCAACAAATCTGCATGGCCTACTGTGGAAGATAGAAGACCTATTTCAGAAGGTTATATTTAGAGCAACTCATTTATCTTCTAAGTTCTACAGATGCAGAAACTCCTAGTTATTTTAACATGAAGCTTTTACCTCTCTGGACCTGTGTGTTTTCTTCTAAGTTGCCTATATTTAATCATCCTCAGCCTTTTCTTTGGCTTTTTTCTAATATAAAAAGTCAA